CAATCGAATGTTATATGTGATAAATCGAATGTTATATGCAATAAAACAAATGTTATATGTGATAAATCGAATGTTATATGTGATAAATCAAATGTTATAATATGTGATAAATCGAATGTTATATGTGATAAATCGAATGTTATATGTTATCAATCGAATGTTATATGTGATAAATCGAATGTTATATGTGATGAATCAACCATAAAACAAAAATCGAATTATGAAACAAAAAACATGCCATAGTAACGATTGTGACTTTATTAGTAACTTGACACATACACAATATATACATTAGGCAGGCGTAGATAATAAAGAATTCCCTATTATCTACTCCTGATATAGGCCTACATACTATATCCTAGCTCGCCCCTCACAGCTCTAAAATTAAACCGACAACCTTAATTAAAATAAAATAAAAACTGACGTTCATTATCTGCGCTATATAAGGTACATTAACTACTATTAACGGTGGTACTCACCCTAACGTAGGGGGTAGACAAATGAAGGGAGAAATGTTTGCGCGAACAGCAAGAACGAGCCAAATATTACAGGGTGCTATTAACCAGGTGCTGAAAGGTTAGTTGGCCAGACAATGAATATTAGACGTGTCAATATTTATAGGCTCCAACTAGCAGGAATGGTCCCGCACCCCCCTTTTTATAACTTTTCAGGATATTAGCTCCCCCCCGGGCCAATATAACACCACCGTCTCGTTTGGGAGGTCTGTGCCTATACCGTATCTATCGCTCCGACTTCTTCCACCCAGTAACGATTTGTTTCACCTACTCACTGTTCCAACTCTATCCGCGAGGTCCGCTAACGTGACGCCCTCATTCACTGACACCCATAAACACATTTTCTTGTTACAACTGAACGATATTCTTATCGTTCCGTAAGTACAGCCCCCTTCCGACACACACAACTCGAATTGATATGATGTAATCGCTAGCTGCATGTGAAAGAGTGGAGTTTGATAAATCTCTCTCTTTTTTTGCGCTCTCTCTCTGTCTCTGCATCCTTCAGTTTCGCTCTCTCTCTATCATCTGTCACTGCCACTGTCTCTCTCTCTCTCTCTCTCTCTCTCTCTCTCTCTCTCTCTCTTTCTCTCTCTCTCTCTCTCTCTT